TGTGTGGTTATTAGGGGGGGCGAGGGGGACTCCACTAACTCCTAATCAACAACACTAAGAGTAACCCCCGCCCTGGGTGACCTCAGGGGGGCCGGCGGGCCGGTAGCACGTTTGAATAAATTTACGTGGCCACCATAGATTGTGACTAAACACAAACTTTTTCTCAATGAGCTAGCGCTGGATTCTTCTGGCTTTGTTTATTTTTTACTTTGTAATTTTATATACTTTATATCTGTTACTTGAAAAAAAAATGTTATGGCTCTTCTTTTTTTTAAATTCAAAATCGAAATCTGTGCATTATCTTTATAGGTCCTTTTTAGATGTTTGAATTAAGATTCATGTGTTGATATTTGATTGTTGTATGCGTTTACCACTTTACGTACTTGTTCGTTGATAGCATACTTTCTATTTTTATATTGATTTATGTTCAGCAAGCGAACGAAGTGTTTGGGTACAGAGTAATATCAACATTTGTTTCCCTTGATAGATAATTTTTAGACAATGTTACCATTTGTTGGCTCAATAATGTTAACATTTAGTTGTTAATATGAAGGTTTAAATATATACAGCTAAATTAGTCAACAATTATGAACAAAAAAGTTGACTTTTATTTCTCTGTTCTGGCAATATCTGATACTTTGAGTGGTTACATTGCTGCTACTTATAACTGAAGTACAACATAACTTGTCAATTGTGATTATATTTTTGTTGACAGTTATGTGCAACTGTTTCACAACACTCTTACTTTTAGCATTCCAGGTCTCTGCGGTGTTTTACAAGCTTCTGAGTTTTCCACCAATTGTTCTTTCACAAGCAAGCACCCTATTTTTGGGAAGACTGTTCTTTAACTCCACCATTGTGTTTTCGTTTCAGGTCCTACCGAATGCCAGTACCCCATGGAGAACTTGCCTCAGAATGATCGTGTTGCACCAACAGACCCAAGTAAGAATGATGAACCAAGGGTTGTGGAACTTTCTCCTAATGATGGTGATGAACCTGTTGTGTCCGTTACAGTCCAGCCTGGTACAGCTTCTGTACTTGCACCAGTTGATGAACCTGTAAGTATGTGGAAGGGCTTGCAGTTGTTGAGACCGTCTAGAATATGTTAACTGTTTGGTTCGATAAAGCTCCTATGTTAATTTGAAAAAAAAGTGAATAATTCGTTTAACAATTATTTAACAATTATGTCAAAATTGCGTTTTCCATGAAGGAATCTTGTTAGCCAATGACTCTTAATTGTCCGAATTGGCAAGAAAAATAAATGACATCGATTATACTTCACTTATTTGTTCATTTCTATTCATGTAACTAGTCTACATTTCCTTCAAAGAAAGAATGCACTATGTGAGATTTTCCATTATTGAAATGTATTTTCAAGAGAACGCTGTACTCTAATTCTATAGAGACAATCGGCAAAACAGTCGAGGTTAAAAAGTGTATAGAAAGAAAGCACTTCCTCCAAATTGTCCTATGGAGCTTCTGTTTTGATTGTTGTGCAAAAACTTTAGATGTAAAGCCGCTGTATCTTTTTTGCAGACCTTCCCAGGAGATGGATCACCGGTTGCTTACGTCTATACTTTTGGTACGTAGTAAACATCTCTAGGCAAAAACTAGTAACATGTTTAAGTGCATATTTCTGTTTACATATCTTTGTGTGTCTGTCTGTAAGTATGAATGTTTACAATGCTATAATATTACTTTCCAGAAATGCTGTACCATAGTTGAGCTTGACCAACGTTGGCTAATAGTTCGTTAATAGTTAAAATGAATATAATGAATTTTGGATTTTGAAAATATAATATAATTCATTATTTTGTTGTCACATATTCATAGAATTAATGTGCAGAATCTTAATGAGTTGTTCAATTGCCACCATCATTATTCATTATCTCATAGCAAATAGTAATATTTCTCTTTGCATTTCTGAAGTGGGAACTGATGGGAAATTGGTTGAAGGGAATAGTAAAAGAATGCATAATGTCTAGGATTCATAGTATGGCTGAAACATTATTTAATGAGTATTGTCTACTTCTTTGTTTGACCATTCTTGATTTCTCAATGTTTTTAGATGATGATCGATCACCAGAAGAGGTTGCAAGTGCATTGGAGGCTGGAGCTGAACCTCGTAAGTTTATTTTCCTATCCCAATGCAAAATTCTTTCGTAAGCTTCATAACAATTGAACAGAGTAGGATGTTAGTGGAAGATGCCTGACAGTTAATTTAAAGAGTTCAATAAAAATGAAAGATTCTTTTGACATTCTTTTCCCATTACATATATACGCTTACAAAACCAAATGTAAAATCTAAAGACTTTCTGTGCTTTTTAGTGTATGAAATATTATTTCTGGTCTACACAAAATGAAGCAAGCAAAGCCAGTGAAATGTTTAAAATAAAACCATTACATGTACAAAATGAATACCTTTACCTTCCATTGTTTTTCCAATAGTCTCCCAAAATTTTTCAGTTCCAGAAGATGCAGTTGTGTACGCATACGAAGTTGAAACTACTGGAGAAGTTCGCGTGGTCGTTAAATTTACCTCTGTCACGGGAGTCGATTATCCATCAAACCCATCTGACAACAAACAGCTGTTTACCGTTGAGGTTGGTGACGCAATCTCATTTTGTGACCTTCAAATGTTTTAAAAACTGATATTATTATTCTCCTGTGCCAGCTTGGTTAAAATTCTCTCTACCTTTTCTTTTAGCGTTTCAATCTCTAAGTTGTACTTTTTTGTATCAAATAACGTTATTGAACGTGCATTGTAATAAATTCAGAGTTATTCACCTTGACTCATGGACCTGTTTTGCTTAAAAGAAGAATTGAAAAAGATATTTTCATGTGTCCTTTTTGCCCGTAGAGCATTTCCAGAAAGCAATTTTGCGCCTTAAACATGTTTCCTCAATAGCAAAACTTGTGGATATGTATACACTTATGTCATTTAGACTTTAAAAATATACATCTGAATTAGCACTAAATCACAACTCGTTGCTTTTGGTATAATCTTGTACAGGACCTGACAAGCGATGATGACATTCCAAGTGGTGACATTCCAGTGATCATTTTGGTTGAAGAAAGTGACACTGTGTTGGCTAAAGTATGCACAGGTGGGTTATCGTTGTTGTTGTGCTTGGTAGCATGGTGTTGATGAAATGTACGGCGAGTTATTCTGTGTGTGTGCGTATATATGTGTGTGTGTGTGTGTGTGTGTGTGTGTGTGTGTGTGTGTGTGTGTGTGTATGTTTGTGTGTCTTGTGTATACCTTTCAAATATTTTATTTCTTAAACTTACTCTATCATTTTTGACTGGCCCTCTATCTCTCACCCATTGGTCTTTGGCTTCTAACAGTATCTATATATGCGAAGCGTCCTGGTGAAATCAAGCGCGGTTTGGCGGTTTTTGTCGAATTTTTGTTTTTTCGCTTGCCGCCTTTTATGTCCTCTTGAAAATACATTTCTGTGTGGGCATTATTGAAAAAAGTTAATTAAACGCACGAAAATAGTAAAACGTCAGTTTCCAAGTACTCTCAAGCTTTGAAAAACACCAAACATTAACCCCCATCTCTTTCAAGGCAGTTATCCCGACAACTGGGAGGGGGGGGGGGGTCATCGAAAGCAGGTTAAATGAACAAGCTTTTAGATGATACTACAAACTCCACATGTCAAAAAAATTGGCGAGCACCTGATTCTACTGCGTCGTGATACATATGTATTTTAGATTTTTTTTTTCTGTCTGTTTGTGTCTGTCTTTATTTTTATTTTCTTCAGCCTTTGTTATCTTCAGACTGTGTCTCAGTCTATTTACTCGTCTATAAAAACTCTCAAAGATTACATCAGGTACACCTTTCTTATAAATGTGTGGTTATTTTACACGTGTTTTTTAAAAGTCGTCACTAAGATCTCTTTTTATTTGCATTTGCTCATGTTTCCTTCATTTTCATTTCACTATCGATCGCTTCTCAAAAAAGATAAAAATGGTAACAAATTAAACAAATAAATACAAAGCTTGTTCAGCTTATTTGTTTTAAAACTCATAAAGTTTGATTCTCTGTAGGGTGAGAAGATCCTTTTAATAGATCTCCAATTTCTTTTGTGAACCAACTCAGTATCCTTTTCCCACTCCTTTATTCTACTTACATCGCCAATTTACATTTAACAGAACCTGGAACCTCTGGCCCAGCACCACCACCAGGAACCTCTGGCCCAGCACCACCACCAGGAACCTCTGGCCCAGCACCACCACCAGGTACATCTGGCCCAGCACCACCACCAGGAACTTCTGGCCCAGCACCACCACCAGGTACATCTGGCCCAGCACCACCACCAGGAACATCTGGCCCAGCACCACCACCGGGAACCTCTGGACCAGCACCACCACCAGGCACATCTGGCCCAGCACCACCACCAGGAACCTCTGGTCCAGCACCACCACCAGGCACATCTGGCCCAGCACCACCACCAGGAACATCAGGTATTTGATTCTATTTTACTGCACCTAGCTATGTGGATTTCAATTGTTTTGATATCGACGATCTGACAACTTTGACATATTGAACAAATTTTTCAATGGACAAGCAAGCTATAGGGTTGTTTGTATTTTCTAGCTACAGAAAAACTAGACAGTATGAATAGATTTATATCTATATACTCTAAGATATGATATTTGAATATCCAGGCCCAGCACCACCACCAGGTACATCTGGCCCAGCACCACCACCAGGAACTTCTGGCCCAGCACCACCACCAGGTACATCTGGCCCAGCACCACCACCAGGAACCTCTGGCCCAGCACCACCACCAGGAACATCAGGTATTTCAATTGCTTTCAACACACATGGCAATATGAATTTAAAATGTTTTAATGTGGAAGATCTGATAAATCTAACTGGATTTTCAAGGCACATCCAGACCAAAGTGTATTTTTCAACAACATGAAAAGATGACATTAACAATGTGATTTCTGTCTCTGTATTTAAAGAAACGATATTTTAAACATTCAGGTCCAGCACCACCACCAGGTACATCTGGCCCAGCACCACCACCAGGTACATCTGGCCCAGCACCACCACCAGGAACCTCTGGCCCAGCACCACCACCAGGAACATCAGGTATTTCAATTGCTTTCAACACACATGGCAATATGAATTTAAAATGTTTTAATGTGGAAGATCTGATAAATCTAACTGGATTTTCAAGGCACATCCAGACCAAAGTGTATTTTTCAACAACATGAAAAGATGACATTAACAATGTGATTTCTGTCTCTGTATTTAAAGAAACGATATTTTAAACATTCAGGTCCAGCACCACCACCAGGTACATCTGGCCCAGCACCACCACCAGGTACATCTGGCCCAGCACCACCACCAGGAACCTCTGGTCCAGCACCACCACCAGGAACCTCTGGCCCAGCACCACCACCAGGAACCTCTGGCCCAGCACCACCACCAGGAACCTCTGGCCCAGCACCACCACCAGGTACATCTGGCCCAGCACCACCACCAGGAACCTCTGGCCCAGCACCACCCCCTGGAACCTCTGGCCCAGCACCACCACCAGGTACATCTGGCCCAGCACCACCACCAGGTACATCTGGCCCAGCACCACCACCAGGAACCTCTGGTCCAGCACCACCACCAGGAACCTCTGGCCCAGCACCACCACCAGGAACCTCTGGCCCAGCACCACCACCAGGAACATCAGGTATTTCAATTGCTTTCAACACACATGGCAATATGAATTTAAAATGTTTTAATGTGGAAGATCTGATAAATCTAACTGGATTTTCAAGGCACATCCAGACCAAAGTGTATTTTTCAACAACATGAAAAGATGACATTAACAATGTGATTTCTGTCTCTGTATTTAAAGAAACGATATTTTAAACATTCAGGTCCAGCACCACCACCAGGTACATCTGGCCCAGCACCACCACCAGGTACATCTGGCCCAGCACCACCGCCAGGTACATCTGGCCCAGCACCACCACCAGGTACATCTGGCCCAGCACCACCACCAGGAACCTCTGGCCCAGCACCACCCCCTGGAACCTCTGGCCCAGCACCACCACCAGGTACATCTGGCCCAGCACCACCACCAGGTACATCTGGCCCAGCACCACCACCAGGAACATCTGGCCCAGCACCACCACCAGGAACCTCTGGCCCAGCACCACCCCCTGGAACCTCTGGCCCAGCACCACCACCAGGTACATCTGGCCCAGCACCACCCCCAGGAACCTCTGGCCCAGCACCACCACCAGGAACCTCTGGCCCAGCACCACCACCAGGAACCTCTGGTAGCTTTTTGATATTTACAATGTTTAATGATAAATTTTCAGTTTCATTTTTATTCCCAAATCAATCAAACTTTAAGATGAGCCTAGCAATTTGATTAGCTTAAATAAAAGCAACAGGACAGGTACGATGGTATGAATTAATTTTGCGTGAAGAACATAGATTGTGACTAAACACAAACTTTTTCTCAATGAGCTAGCGCTGGATTCTTCTGGCTTTGTTTATTTTTTACTTTGTAATTTTATATTCTTTATATCTGTTACTTGAAAAAAAAATGTTATGGCTCTTCTTTTTTTAAAATTCAAAATCGAAATCTGTGCATTATCTTTATAGGTCCTTTTTAGATGTTTGAATTAAGATTCATGTGTTGATATTTGATTGTTGTATGCGTTTACCACTTTACGTACTTGTTCGTTGATAGCATACTTTCTATTTTTATATTGATTTATGTTCAGCAAGCGAACGAAGTGTTTGGGTACAGAGTAATATCAACATTTGTTTCCCTTGATAGATAATTTTTAGACAATGTTACCATTTGTTGGCTCAATAATGTTAACATTTAGTTGTTAATATGAAGGTTTAAATATATACAGCTAAATTAGTCAACAATTATGAACAAAAAAGTTGACTTTTATTTCTCTGTTCTGGCAATATCTGATACTTTGAGTGGTTACATTGCTGCTACTTATAACTGAAGTACAACATAACTTGTCAATTGTGATTATATTTTTGTTGACAGTTATGTGCAACTGTTTCACAACACTCTTACTTTTAGCATTCCAGGTCTCTGCGGTGTTTTACAAGCTTCTGAGTTTTCCACCAATTGTTCTTTCACAAGCAAGCACCCTATTTTTGGGAAGACTGTTCTTTAACTCCACCATTGTGTTTTCGTTTCAGGTCCTACCGAATGCCAGTACCCCATGGAGAACTTGCCTCAGAATGATCGTGTTGCACCAACAGACCCAAGTAAGAATGATGAACCAAGGGTTGTGGAACTTTCTCCTAATGATGGTGATGAACCTGTTGTGTCCGTTACAGTCCAGCCTGGTACAGCTTCTGTACTTGCACCAGTTGATGAACCTGTAAGTATGTGGAAGGGCTTGCAGTTGTTGAGACCGTCTAGAATATGTTAACTGTTTGGTCCGATAAAGCTCCTATGTTAATTTGAAAAAAAAGTGAATAATTCGTTTAACAATTATTTAACAATTATGTCAAAATTGCGTTTTCCATGAAGGAATCTTGTTAGCCAATGACTCTTAATTGTCCGAATTGGCAAGAAAAATAAATGACATCGATTATACTTCACTTATTTGTTCATTTCTATTCATGTAACTAGTCTACATTTCCTTCAAAAAAAGAATGCACTATGTGAGATTTTCCATTATTGAAATGTATTTTCAAGAGAACGCTGTACTCTAATTCTATAGAGACAATCGGCAAAACAGTCGAGGTTAAAAAGTGTATAGAAAGAAAGCACTTCCTCCAAATTGTCCTATGGAGCTTCTGTTTTGATTGTTGTGCAAAAACTTTAGATGTAAAGCCGCTGTATCTTTTTTGCAGACCTTCCCAGGAGATGGATCACCTGTTGCTTACGTCTATACTTTTGGTACGTAGTAAACATCTCTAGGCAAAAACTAGTAACATGTTAAAGTGCATATTTCTGTTTACATACCTTTGTGTGTCTGTCTGTAAGTATGAATGTTTACAATGCTATAATATTACTTTCCAGAAATGCTGTACCATAGTTGAGCTTGATTAACGTTGGCTAATAGTTCGTTAATAGTTAAAATGAATATAATGAATTTTGGATTTTGAAAATATAATATAATTCATTATTTTGTTGTCACATATTC